CTAACATACCAGACTTAAAAGTTTAACTGGATACAAGCTGTGTGAAGTAACTGATTTGTAGGTTTAACTTGATAAAAGTTGTATGGAGTGGCTGACTTGTAGGTTTAATTTGATACAAGCTGTGTGAAGTAACTGACTTATAGGTTTAATTTGATAAAAGCTGTGTGGAGTGGCTGACTTATAGGTTTAATTTGATAAAAGTTGTGTGGAGTGGCTGGCTTGTGAGTTTAATAGGAGTTTCATAATATAACTGACTTGTAGGTTTAACTTGATAAAAGTTGTGTGGAGTAGCTGACTTGTGAGTTTATTAAGAGTTTCATAATATAACTGACTTGTAGGTTTAACTTGATAAAAGTTGTATGGAGTGGCTGACTTATAGGTTTAATTTGATAAAAGTTGTGTGGAGTGGCTGACTTGTGAGTTTATTAAGAATTTCATAATATAACTGACTTGTAGGTTTAACTTGATAAAAGTTGTATGGAGTGGCTAACTTGTTCAAAGCTTCATGAAGTATCTGGCTAACTTGTGTTCTATCTACTTTAGCAGCTGTGTCCTTATTTCTCATTGAGATGTGAACGTTTCTGATTGAATGGTGCCTGCTTACAAAATATGTATTGACAGAGACACAAAAATACTTTCAGAGCTATAGATATATTATTATAATTTTACTAGTGCTGTGACAGTTACTAAGATAATGGCTGAAGATTATTAAATATAGATATTAAAACTCAAAATGCAAGTAATCACAATGTACTTCCTTTCACTATGCTAAAAAGTTAGGTTGCTGTATTCCTAAACATATTTTACAAAATATGCGAGTATTTGTTTAAGAGCTCCATTGGTAGAGCTTTAAACAAATAACAGAAGTTAGTTATGTAACTGGAACTCATAAAATGTTTTAGGTTTAGTTTCGTCAATGTTTGGTGTTTATTCCTTTGAGTTATTTTCTAATTTAGAGTATGCCTACTAGATACAGAAACAATCTGGAAGGTTATTCATTACTGTTTATTATCTCAGATGTGTGTTTTATGAGATACCTAAGACTAACTCATGAACTGGTGGTTTAAAATATTATAAAGAATTAAAAGTGAAAAAAGTTCTGAAAAAATGAAAATTGTTGTAGCAGCAAAAACAAAAAAAATTAGGAAACTAACAAAAACTTTCATATCTGTATGCTGTACGTATCATTCACTATAATTATTCAGATTTAGTTGTTACTTACAATATTTATTATCATGTGTATTGTTCTATTTTAGCACCAGAGCAATGATATAGTTCAGTACTCATGATTATTGTACATTTTTGACATGTTAACTACACATAATAGCTATATAATTCTTGGACATTTAAAATATAAAAAATTCTGTTTTCAACAGCAGATCATTTTTTATATGTTCTTTTCTTATGTAAAATTCAGATCAGAGGCTAGACCTTTGTAAAAATAATTCTGATGACCAAGAGGTGGTACGTGGCCAGATAGTGGTCAGCCTTATGTCTAGAGATGGACATGGTTCAGGGAGTCAAAATGTAGTCATGGATACTGTGCAAAACCTATCTTCTCCCGAGGAACTTCCTGAAGGGTAAGTAAGCTGTCAAGTCTGCAAATATTTATTTTGTACAAGATAGAGAAATTCACCAGTATGTGTACTCAGGGGTAGTAGCATTAAGAAAACTTAATGCTTATTATGTTGTAATAAGGATCTGAAATGCCTGTTGAAATTTTTTCAAAGATACAGAAATGTTTGCTAGAGGGTCAGTATATTTTACCCATAAGTTGCCCATAAGTACTAATTTTTATAGTCATGATAGTCTGCTTTCATCATGTCTGTAAGTGAAAAAATTCCAGCTGTCACTTTTGATTTTACACAACTTATACATGTGAAGAAACATCCAACAAAAGAAGATTAGATAACATTTATTCACATTAGGTGATTTTCTTTCTAATTTTGTGATTGGTCAGAATTGAGATTCCTATGTATATATAAAGTACGTCTTGCATCAAGTATTGGAAGCTATACCAAGAATGTGGTCAACTACAATACTAATAAAAACACTGTTTGGCCCCCTGCTGTAATGGAACTACTACACTCTCTTGTTGGTAGGTGACAGTGAAAAACATCCACACACATTTGGGTACATTGCTGAACTAATTCACCCCCACCCCTCCTTCCTACTCCTATCCCACTATCACAAGTACCTTCTTAAACTTTTGTTTCAAATTGTAAAAAGTTTGAAACATTACAGCTTTTTACTTAATGAAACCCTGTAAATAGAATCTTTGATACTGACATGAGTAAATCTGTTGTATGTTGTTATATTTCTTGTTACCAGAATATAATTAAGTGTGTGAATATAAGTATTAAAGTTGCTTCTCTATGATCTAGTTAAGTATGTGATTATTTTTAATTGTACAGTTGTGAAAAATGTGTTTGATTTCTACAACTCGAGGGGGGGGGCTTACATGATGTTACTCAGCATGACTCTTAAGTCATAATATCTTCCATAATCCTGTATAAAATTCTTAATCACCTGTTCTTGGGTTACTTGTACAGCTGGGAGGAGCGAAGGACTGCTTCTGGAAGGATATATTATGTCAATCACTATTCTAGATCTACTCAGTGGGAGAAACCAACAAGGTAAGATAACTTTCTCTGTAGCAGAGTAAATATAAGTAATTGTTATCTGGAATGTATGTTATCATAAACAATGATCTTTTCTACGTGTTTTAGTATTTGTGAAAAGAGGCACCTCCAGGTTCATCATATCTAATGTTGAAATGTTCTAATCAGTTTTATTGTTTAACCCTAACATGATCGACGAATATCTTTTCGAGGTTGAGTGCATAGCTGTAAATTGAGTATCAAAACTTAAGTAATCTAACTCTATATCAACAATTTTATTTATACAAAACTATTCAGAATAGATATTTTACATTATATAACAGTAAAATATTCTGATGTTGGATATCTTTAGTTATTGATTAATATTTTTTAAATTGACCCTCTTCATACAACGAGCACAGTTAAAATATCTTATTGTATATTAAAAACTTTATTGATCACATAAAACTGATCTAGCCCAGAACATTTTTAGCAACTAGCCTGATAAAGGTAAGAGTGGTGACATTTTGAAAGGTGAGGTAACAGGTCACCATAAAATTTTGTCAGTTTTTGTGGTGCTTTATACTGGAAGTGATAATTTATTCAATTGGCAAACTAAAGTATCCATAGAAGTATGTTTATGAATATTAATGAAGTTGAAACTGACATGATATGTAAATGGGAATTTTTGATCAATAAAAAAGTAAATTAAATTCTAAAATAACAGGAAGTATTTTACTCTTTTTCAAAACAATGTCTGAACAAAGTTTATGAAGTTTTAGAACTTAAAAAATGTTAGAAAGACTGAATGAAATATAATATTTTCAAGCCTAAATTAGATACAATTTAGTAGGTTGTGAGAGGGTTGAAGATTATATATTTGTTTAAGGTTAGTGTAGTCTAGAGATCTTTTTTAAAGAATAATGATCTGTATTTTTTTGTTTTCCATAAAATTTAGAGTAGCTAGTTTTTTTATGCAAAGCTTAAAGATCATCAAACTGTTGTTTTGCATCTTTTGACTTGCTCATTTAAATTTTACATAGTGCAGAGAAAATTTTAATTTATGTGATGAAGTAGTAAATATTGTCTTTTATTACTATACTGAGGCAAAGGGCTATGAAAGACTAGATTAAAAATTTTCGGTTTTGTCTTCATTAAAGTAACTGCTTATTAAAGAATAAAATTGAAGATTCTAAAAGTGTTACGTCAGGTAAGTTTAGATTGGAAGATTCTAAAAGTGTTATGTCAGGTAAGTTTAGATTGGAAGATTCTAAAAGTGTTACGTCAGGTAAGTTTAGATTGGAAGATTCTAAATTTGTTACGTCAGGTACATCTAGATTGGATAAATTTGTTACGTCAGGTACATCTAGATTGGAAGATTCTAAAAGTGTTACGTCAGGTAAGTTTAGATTGGAAGATTCTAAATGTGGTATGTCAGGTATGTTTAGATTGGAAGATTCTAAATGTGGTCAGTCAGGTACGTTTAGATTGGAAGATTCTAAAAGTGTTACGTCAGGTACATCTAGATTGGAAGATTCTAAATGTGGTCAGTCAGGTACGTTTAGATTGGAAGATTCTAAAAGTGGTATGTCAATATAGTTTAGATGCTTTTTTTTTCTAGACCTGCACATGAATCTCAGCAGAGTAATAACTCCAGTCAGAATGTTAACAGTAGATCACGCAGAAATCATATTACATCGGGTCCTAACAGTGAAGGGGAGTCATCATCATCTTCACAAAATAGCCAAGTAGCGATGAGAAGGCGATCTACCAGACATCGGAACTTCATGTCCAGAAATCAGCTCCACCGGTCAGCCGAGCTACCTGATGGTTATGGTTAGACTTTTGTTTTTGAAAAAGTCTTGATACTAATAAATATGAGGAGTACCATATAAGGTGTTGGTAGCAGTTAGAATCTAGTACTCTTTCATGGCCATACAAACTTATCAGTTCATTCAGATGATTGCCAAACTTTTTTCATTTTACATTTATGTGGAAAAAAATCGGCTCCCCTCCGATCATCATTATGTACATCAAACAATACATTTACTAATTTAGTGACTTGCCATCCTAAATCATGTCCCTTTTTCTGATGTGCTATATGTGTATTGTTTAACTTGCTTGAGAGTTACTTGGTTCTTCTTCAACACATCATCGAGTGTTTGCAAGTGGTGCCACTTGAAACACCAATCTTGCTTGCAGACTCTTTGTGGTTAGCCTTTTCTGCAACTTGATATGTACTTTTGGGAATGTTGTAGTAGATATATACAACAAATAAATAGTACTGTTTCACTTTTGGTTTATTTTATAAAATGTCCAGTCTTTATTTTTCTGGACTTTTCTACCTCTTTGTGTAAGGTTTCCTGATTTTTTATGCCAAAGGTTTTACAATTCCATCTTCTGTGAATGTAAATGTATTTCACAAACGAGGATTTTTTTATGTAGTTTCTTCTGCTGATTATGTGCTTTCAACTTAGTCTACAGATAAACACAGATGCAGTAGTGTGACAGATAGTCCATTTGTTATTTACATGAATATCTTGAGGAAGTATTTATTATTTGTTCTTCTTTCCTCTTCATATCAATTCCTCTCGTGCTTGAATATTCCAGTCTAGATGTTAATATTTGTAATAATAACCAAAACATTCTTCATGTTGAAGACATTTTCTTTTTCTTTCTTATGATTGGTCTTTGTTTTATGACTTGGTTTCTTTCACAATAAACTAAACACTTCTCTGTATTTCTAGACATTGCTATGTTTGGTAGCTTGTCTTCCATAAGTCTTTGAGGGCTGACCATGTCCTCATTTCATCTTTTTTTTTTTCTTTTTGTTGACGGCCAGTCGTGTCCCTCCTCCTCTTTTTCACTATGTTGAGGGCTAATCCTGTTCTCTTCCTTTTATTATCTCTATTGAGGAATCAGGACTAGCCCTGTCTTATCTCCTCCTTTTCTGTTTATTAAGGGCTAACCCTGTCCTTCCTTCTAGTCTCTTTATTGGGAATTGGCCTTGTCTCTTCTCTTGTTCTCTGTACTGATGTCTTTCCCTGCATCTTCTCCTGTTCTCTGTACTGAGGTTTTTCCCTGCATCTTTTCCTGTTCTTTGTACTGAGGTTTTTCCCTGCATCTTTTCCTTTTCTATGTACTGAGGTCTATCCCTGCATCTTCTGTTCTCTGTACTGAGGTCTATCCCTGCATCTTCTCCTGTTCTCTGTACTGAGGTCAATCCCTGCATCTTCTCCATACTGAGGTCTTTCCCTGCATCTCCTCCTATTCTCTATAGTGAGAGCTAGATCATGCTCTAACTTTTTTTTTTCTCTGTTGAAGGTTAACATAACATATATTTGTCTAAGTTATCTGGTAGTGGACGCAGTAAGAAATCAGGGTAATGGTGTTTAACCGTATCCCTGGTTACATACTTGGAACAAATACTTTAGTGAATGTTATGCTTAAATGAGAATTTATCCAGTCACAGCATTTTGTACATTTGATTTTATAGAAATAAAGTGTATGCCTAAAACTTTCTTAACTATTGTGTGTTAAGAACTAGTAGGGTTTTGAAATTCAATGTGTAGTTAAATAAGACAGAGATAGAGAAATATTTTGAAAAAATAAAATCTTAAATGCTTATCTGAATTATTGTTTTATGTTTCTTCAGAAATTAGGACTACCCAACAAGGACAGATATATTTTTATCATGTTGCAACTGGAGTTAGCACTTGGCATGATCCTAGAGTGCCTAGGGACCTTGCTGGAGTGAATGCTGGCGACCTGGGACCACTTCCTAATGGTTGGGAGATGAGGCAAACAGGAAGTGGCAGAATCTATTTTGTAGATCACAATAACAAAACAACCCAGTTTACCGATCCTCGACTTTCGAACAGCCTTGTCCTACAGAATGTGCTGAAGTAAGCATTGTTTGGAATCGTTTTATCATGCTTTTGGTAAAAAGGTAACTGAAGAGAATTAAAAAAAGTTAGGTTTCATTTATTAATAGTTTTCAGTCTGGACGTCTGCAGAAAAATCTCTTAAGAGACTAACCTGCTATTCAACGACATAACCATTTTGTTGAGATGGTATGAGAGGAATACAAGAAAAAAAGTAATTTAAATTGTCATCTTTAGTTATTTTTTTCCTTTCAGACAATCTTTTAAAGCTGCTGGTTTTTTCAGGTTTTTCTAACGGTTGAAATAAAGGATGGAATCTTTGTAGCTTTGACTGGAGTTATATTTGTGAAGACATTCAAACAAATTCTGCATCTGAGAACCAGTGAACTATTGAAGTCTTAGATATATAATCTTGTTGAGTTTTACTATCATTTCTGGTTCCCCCCTAATTTTCATTGGAAACCCTGTCAAATTGGTAGATTTTGTACTAAGGGAAATATCATTACCAAATACAAAATACTCAGACTCGTGGGTTCTGATTTTACCTCTCAAGATAAGTTATTGGGAGAACAATATTTTTTAGCTGCCCTGGAGACATGTCATATTATACTTAATGCACAAAAAGCCTGTAGATAAAAATTGATTTTCCTCTTCTGATCTTATCATTGACAGTATAATTCTCTTATTTTTTATTTGAGGTGTTTCACCATGCATGTAACTTGGCTTCTTTTATTTTATTTGAGGTGTTACAAGTGTTATTCTGAAGAAAGTACAATATTCTGATACTTTCATATGTCCCCTTCATTCAAACTCTTGTTTGTCAGAAATTGTACTGAAGAGGGTGTGTGAAAGTCTCATATTTTTTTTCCCCACATAAACTTCTTGGTCCATAACATTGGATCTTTAAATACATTAGGAGGTTACATGTGTGTATGTTTTTAGAGGTATTATGTTTTTTTTTTGTATCTTTAAATTCAGATATGCTGTTCATGTGTTTGTTGTGGTTCTTAAACTTGGGTATCTTCAGATTTTGTTTCTCGATAAGATACAGTTGCGGGAAAGTTTTATCTTTGCTATTTACTTCTACCAGTTAGCTGTAGCTACACCAAATATCTACATGCTCCAAAATATAAAATTATTGTAATAATAATTTTAAAATAAATTGTCAGTTTTAAACATTTTTAGTGTTACATTATGAAAAACTGAGGTTACAAGAGGAAAATTCAAACATTCACCTAATTAATATCTGTGAAAAAATAACTTATTGATTTAATGTGTCAACATTTGCTGTTTGTTTGGATTTCAAAATCTTTATCCCATCTAAGCTGAAATATATCAGTTAAAATTTTAAATAAATAAGAACTTGATAAGTTTATTCATTATCATAAGCTTATTCATTAGTGGCGATAATGTTTGGTTTTGATCAGCTGGAAGGCAGATAACATCTTGATTGGATATTATAAGTATTTTCTGATAACTGGTTGCCGTTTCGATTAAAATAAGCATTCAGTTTTCTATCATCTGTCTGACAGATAATCAGAAAGACTGAGAGAAATATACCGTAGTTTACTAAAAGGTCATGAAAATTCTCTCACCAAGGGTTATTTCTTTACTAATTTTTACCTCTTGTTTTTTCCCTCTCCGACAGTATTCGAAGAAATGGGTCGTCAGTCTCGACAAACAGTGAAGAAAGTAGTAACATTCCTGCTGGACAGGTTGCATCCAGTAGCAGTGATGTATTGACAATTCCTACAATACTTGATAACAGTGATTCTCCCCTTCCGAAGTACACACGTGACATCGTGCAGAAGATGTCTTCATTAAGACAGGAAATTCAAACTTTACAGCCCCAGTCAGGTCACTGTCGCATGGAAGTGTCGAGGGAGGACATTTTTGAGGTTTTTCAGTTCTTACCTACAAAATAAACCACGTGTGTCAGGTAATTAACTTTATATTTTTATAAATGTCTTTTTTTTGTTTATCTTTATAACAAATGAATGAAGTTGTTCGCTGATACACAAATAAATTTTGTTAAATTAAAATTCATAATAAATTGGCAACAGTATAAAACATTTAAGACTGCACAATGCTTCATTACTGTGAGCTGAGAAAGTCCTTATTATAGAGTGTATGATTATTTGTGTAACAGTGTAGCACTTCACATATTACCTTGAGCTGTGAACTGTTAAACATCCATAAATAATTTGTGTACTCAAATTGTAGGTCAAACACTACTAATGTGATTTCTGTTTTCAAATAACGTGCATTTTTACTAGCTCTTTGAGGGCGATAGACAATAGATCTGTACTAATACTTCTCTTATAATCTGTGTAGAAGAGGAAATATTGATAATGCTGCTTCCAAGTGAAGAAAAACATCCTAAGAATGCATTATTGATAGTATGTTATAATAATAAACAAGAGAAATGTAATAATGCTTTTAAATTTAAGTCAACAAATTTCTTATGACCAGACAACCTAGTTTTAATAAATCAGGAAACATTAATAATTCTAAAATTTTTCCAAAGGTTAATGAGACTTGTGGGGACTTTGCTAATTGATTGGTTTCTTTACAGTGCTAATACTAGTATTGTATTATTACTTAGCTAATTCATTGGTTTCTTTACAGTGCTAATACTAGTATTGTATTATTACTTAGCTAATTCATTGGTTTCTTTACAATGCTAATACTAGTATTGTATTATTACTTAGCTAATTGATTGGTTTCTTTACAGTGCTAATACTAGTATTGTAATATTACTTTGCTAATTGATTGGTTTCTTTACAATGCTAATACTAGTATTGTATTATTACTTTGCTAATTGATTGGTTTCTTTACAATGCTAATACTAGTATTGTATTATTACTTTGCTAATTGATTGGTTTCTTTACAGTGCTAATACTAGTATTGTAATATTACTTTGCTAATTGATTGGTTTCTTTACAGTGCTAATACTAGTATTGTATTATTACTTTGCTAATTGATTGGTTTCTTTACAGTGCTAATACTAGTATTGTATTATTACTTTGCTAATTGATTGGTTTCTTTACAGTGCTAATACTAGTATTGTATTATTACTTTGCTAATTGATTGGTTTCTTTACAGTGCT